GTAGAGTGACTCCCCGCAAGGTTTAGGTATGTCTTTGGAGGAGGTGGGTCAACGTCGTGTATGAGCGATTTGCTGTTTCTTCTCAAACCCTCATGAGTTTCCCAAACCTTTAGGAGTCAGCAACCCGAACGACTACCTAGCGTTTACATGCAAGATTAGTCAATTGTTAAAGTTTCAGTAGCAATTGTTTGGCAAACACAGCTCCTGAAGCCCTAGCCAATCAATGCATTTTACATATTTTGTAAATATGACCTTGACAAGACAGCCTGTTCAAACAACATTTCTTCAATATTAGCAAGTTTTATCAACATGGTCCACATTTGGTCATGGTCGTGCATATTCAAATGCCCCCAAGTCGCGACCCACAAGCTATGAACATGCGTACCAGGATTGCATACCCAATAAGAGTACATGGTGAACCTAATTAGCATTGAGTTTGTTTAGACGTAACGTGCACCCTCCAAGGTGATATCGATTCCACAAACGAGAAACACGTGTATATAATATTCTCCACTTGCGTCTGGAAACTGAAGTGACGTTGTTCGGAAGCACCTGGAAGTTTCCTGGATTTGGCGCAAGTGCGTGCTATTGGTCAGCTTCCTTTTTTTGGCGCAAGCATGGTGGTCCACATCTCGCCACCGAAGCTTTCATTGTTGTCGGTCACCTGCCCGTTTCCGGACAAGAAGAATTCCTCTGTACACCGCCTCGCCAACTGGCAAACAGAGTTGGCCATCCGAGGATCCGGCTGTTGTGCTTGCTACTGTACACATTTGGTTGAGGAGAGGAACCAGTCGATCCGGGGCTGAATACACAGCCACTTCATATGGTGGGTGTGGATGACAACCAATGGTTGAGGTCGCCTGTCAGAGTGGGGAAGGTGACCATGTATACCCAACCTAACCGCTCTCATTACTTTTGCGGGAAAATGGACGGGACTGAAGGGGCGCTCAATACGGAAATGTGATGCGATAACATTTTGCAAGAACGCATTCGTCCTCTCTCTTGGTTGTCATGTGGGACGGACCATAGAGTACGCATGGGTGGATTCGATGCGGTGTTGGAGAAGTCCACCATGCAAACTTCAGCGAAAGAGCAACAGCAATGCATCGGCATTTCCTTTGTGAACGAATCAACCCACGAGAGAAGCGAGAGTTGTCTGAATGACAGGTGGTGGTGATGCGACCCGCTTGAATCGGCCCTGGGTTGGTGTTGTGTTCTGTGACACTGGACTGGATGGAATCATGCAACAACATCATCTCCTTCTGACTCATCTGGTACCACATGTATCAGGTAACAGAATGAATGCAAGAGCACCCATTCAATGCCGATTTCATTGGCTTACAGTCCGGCGGCGTCATCGCTGGTTGAGGAACAACAGTTCGGAATACTGTACTGTATTGTCTTGCATGTTAAAGCAAGGGTGCACATTCCTAGGGGTGGCTTTCGGGTGTATTTGTTTGGTACACCCTCTAGGGTGCTATGAATGGTTGGCGAAGAGTCCAACCATACAAAACACTGGAGCTAGGGTTGGAGAATGTGCCGGCGAACACAATCAAATTCGTCGGCCAGTTGGGTTGGGGGAACAGACGGGGGAAGGGGAGACAAGTGATAAACCTTTGAGACACCCCCCCCCAAAGTGCACCCTTCACGAAAACAAAAAACGCCTTGCAAGAAAAATCAACGGGAGGTTCTAGGGCTGCGCCAGTGTCAACGACTCATACAGTGTCAAGTTTATCTGACTGCGTTTTTTTAAGGACAGTACACTGTAGACCGCATACGTAACTGTCACTGTGGTTGTGATACACAACCCTAATATATTCCGATTATTCCAGCTCTGCTCCCAATAACCCCCGTGAACGTTGTCTAAAAGTTTTAGTTTTTTAATGCGTATGTGGGTTTCCTGTAAACTATTTTCCAGCTTTTGGATACCTGAAATTCTCTGTTGTTGTGGTGTCCCGCGTGGTGTAACTGTAAAATAACCTGCAGAACAGATTTTTTTGGAAGGGTGGTGGTGATGGGGTGGCGGAGTTTCCACATTTTTTTGCCCTTCTGAAGGACGCATGACTTCGAAGCCGTGTTGGAAACCGCAATTGCTGTCAGTCATGAGACCAACGACAGTTCACAACAGCAATGCGATATGACCATCATGTGCGAGCACCCACCACCACCATACACATGTATACATCATTCCACCATGGACATCCCATCCCATCCCATATCGCATGATTCCCTCCCTCCCATTCTACAGTACATCTCTTGCAGTCATGGTGGCACAGGATCTGCCTTCCTACCGTCCCTCTTACCCAGTCGGCTGTGTCCTCCATTTTCCTTCCCTTCTCCCTTCCCTTACCCACCTTGCGGTTGTCCTTCCCAAATGGCATCAATGCTACGAATGGAGGGGAGGGGAGATTCGGCTCTGCAACGACACTGCTAGCCTAGCAACTTTCGCTTGCCTCCCACGCCATGGACATTCCCTTTTTATGGAACACCGAACACTGCTGCTGCTCCTCCACCTTCCGCACTACCCTTCCAGCCCATCCTAAATGGTCCTACGTCCAAGGTTTTGTACTATGTTAGGACAGTGGCGTTTGAGATATCGGAAGTATAATCTGTGTAGTTAATTTGCGTTTAAGCACTGTCGCGGAAACATTGGCAGGTTACCTCCCAAGACACCAACAGAGGCTAGATAAATTCATCGTTCCGTCTTTTCCCTCACGATTCCTAGACCTTTGCTTTCTTGTCGGATTTCGCTTGCTCTCCATCCTCATCTTATTTCAAATTCGTTGTACACATGGCCGCTCCGCAGCAACCGTACGCGCAGCCGTTCCTTCAGTTCTTCTCCTCCTGTTTCAGCAAGTGGTGAAGCTGGTGAAGCTGTTTCACGTGTAGGACTGGTCGGGGCGCGATTATTTTTTCAATGTTGGCGGTCACACACACCTGTTTTTGTGCACCTGCTGCGCCTTTCCTGATGGTTTTGGGGACCATGTATATGATAGCAAGGATTGGTGGGAGCTTCTGGACGGAGTGTTGGGACCAACTTTCAGCTCATGTATGGTTGAATTGAGACCTGGCAAGGTGAATGTTTGAGAACAAATGATCAGGTAATTTTTAGCTGTGAGTAGTGGAACTCTTTACATGTTAGATGGAGCTCCTCTTCCATGTATAGAGTTATACTATAGCAGACACCCCAGCATGATCAGGGTCAACGAAATTCAAGCACTGCGATGTGATTTTTGTTTTGCTCGGGGTTTGTCAATGTGGTGGAATGTAGCTGCCCAAATGCTAGTGTTTTCAGCTGATTTTCCTACAAAAAAAGGGTTTCAGCGAAAAGTCTCACATCATTGTTTTACGGAACGCGCAAACGTTGAAGCTGCTTGACCTGCTTACTGCTGAGATCGGACGGCTATTTCAAATAAACCTGCCGACAAAGGAAGAAAGGTTGAAATCGAGAAAATGGTGGGGTTGGTGAAACTCGGAGCGCGCGATGCAAGTGGTGCTCAGCAAGTTTTTATTTTCTTTTTTTTGTCGCGAATAGCCGTCAATACCAGCGTCATCGTACACATCGTGTGGTGCACAATCAGTTTGACCATCCCAAGTCCACGTCTCCTTTTTTGCTGTGGTGGTGACCGACGGCGGCGAGGTGAACATGCTCCTCGTCACACAACTCACCCAGTAAAAGCAGAAGTGTAATCCGGTGGAGATTCATACGGTGGTTTGAAATATTGCCTGGTTTTGAAAATGTTGAGAATGGTTAAACGAGAATATTTATGCTAAACGAATGTGCGACAGGTTTTGCACGAGTGGAAGAAACCAGCTTGATTGTGAGGTGTTTGCTAAAAGCGACTTTTTGCGGAGGTGAAATTTTCACGGTCGGAAAGCAGCTGAACCGTGTTGGCTTGAAAGGGATGGTTCCCCCTTGGGTCAGTGCCGCAAGCAGCTGCTGAACTGAACTCGTGGCGCTGCCAAAGTTCCCCGTCAGCGACAACACGATTTCACTGTACACCGCACTGCATCGCAATCGAGATTCGCAAGGCTGCAGTTGATGCCGTCGAGACGCGGTTGCTTGCAGATGACTGCGGAAACCAGCCAGCCGAGATGAGCGGAACGCGGTCATGGTTCATCCCGTCTCGTCATGGATTCACGGGATGATCACAACTCACATCCTGCTTTCCTTCCCCTTCCCTTCATGCGAAGTGGACCGACTCTAGTCGTCACTCACAGTGCTGGCTGGCTGGCCCAGGCCCACCCAAAATCCCTTCCCCTCTTACCCTCCCCCCTTCCTCCCTCCGCCTTCCCCCCGTCCTTCAGTCACCTCCCTAACCCATTTTCCCGCTCATGCAACCACCTTCACCACAAATGCCGCATTCACATGATCCCATCCCATTCTTTCGAAGTGCGAAGCTCGTCTTCCCGCAACACACACTAGATTTTAGTTATTTCGAGTTGCTCTTGTTTCACGAGTAACTAGCATTCAATACTTTCATAGTGATCATAGCGTGGGCCTCGTGCTGCTCCATTCCATTCCATTCTTCCATTCGTCCGTTTGCTCGTCCGTTTACTCGTCCGTTGCTCGTCCGTTTACTCGCTCGATTGTTTGCCTGTTCGTGTGTCGCTGGAAATCTTGATGCAGCCATCCGTGCATTCGCGACATAGCAGCAGCCGTCGTCCTGTAGTGCTTCAGAGCCGACTCAGAACACGCCTGCAGTGTTACTTCGGACGAGGCTAGTTCGCCATCGTCATCGTTTTTCGAAGTGTTTCGAAGCGCCATAGAAACGATATGTGCGAGCAAAACCGCTGGCCCGTTATCCGCGAGCCGCCTTCGCTTCTCAAAATTTCGTCACGCATCTAACGACGGAAAATAGAAATAGAAAAAGGACAGCTCACTCATTCCGGATTGAATCAAGAATTCGAAAACGCTCAAACCAGCATGTCGAATCGACCCGGTTTCTCTCGCTTCCCTCCTCCTCGCTGCGTCAACCCCTCGTTCTAGGAAGCTTCTCATGGAGCGCCTCGGGGTGACCATCACAGCGCGCCGATTTCCGCTGCTGGGCGGGCGCGAGTCTTGCCCGTGGGTGGTGGGGGACGGGGAGGAGGAAGAGGAGCCATGGGAGGAAGGTGAGTTGCTTGACGTCAGCTACTCACAAGATGACGACAGCAGCATCATTGGCGGCGATGGCTGTTATGGTGGTGACCGTCTGGCCGTCGATCCTGCCACGTCAGCGGCTTCGATCGCAGCTGCATTTTACGCACGGCGGAAACATTTTATGTCCACCACCATCCCCGAATTCTCCTCGGCTAATGCGGCTGCTGCAGCAGCGGCGGCGGCGGCGGCGACGGCCGCGATGGCTGCTTCACAGGGAAACTGGGGCATGTCGCCTTACTCCGTACCACCCGCCATTATCGGCGCTGCCGAATCGCACAACTTCGAAGATCATCCCGGTTACCCGCAAGCTTCTAGACATACCCTATCCTCCCCAATCAGCATCAACCGCTCATTCTCCCTCGCTTCCGCCGTCTCTCCCCGCTCGTCCGCCGTTCAACCGCGCTCGTCCGCCCCCTCCCCGCGCTCGTCCGCCTGTTCCCCGCGCTCTGCATCTTTCTCCCCGCGGGAGTCCGCCGCTTTCCCGCGCGTCGTGTCGTTCTCCCCCCGTGCTACCGCAAGCCCGTCCGCGCGCGCCATATCCCGCGAATACATGGCGCAACCCGTGTGGGGGGGAGGTGAATACAGAGAGCGGAGAGTGCGGAACGCGGTGTTGGGGAGGGAGGTGCAGAGGGAGGAGGGGGAGGAAACGGCGGAGAAGGCCTCTCTCGCGCCTTTCAGAGAAGCGGGCAACGCCGGCGGGGGAGGTGGCGGAGGAGGTGGCGGAGGAAGCGGAAGTGAATACAACCTACGGCAGCAGCCCAGCACTCGGCAGGGTAGCCAGCGCGGGGAGCAAGAAGGGCGACGCGAGACGCAATCTGTGCAACGCAGTGACGAGCATAGCCCGAGGTATCGCGCTAGGCGTGCTTGCAGCGACACGAGCCCTAGCAGCAGGCCAGACTGCATTAGTGGCTATGCTGACAGCTCCCGACCCTCCTTGGCAGGAGCGGGGGTTGCGCTCGTGGGCGTGGGCGTGGGCGTGGGCGTGGGCGTGGGCGTGGGCGTGGGCGTGGGCGTGGGCGTGGGCGTGGGCGTGGGCTTGGCACGGCGCAGCAGCAGCCATGCAAGCTGCAGCAGCGGCAGCAGCAACGCCGGCAGCAGAAGCAGCATTGGTGCTGTTCGAAGTGCGTCTGCTGGTGACGGGGGTGTCAGTGGTGGCGGTGCTGCTGACGATAATGATGCTGCTGCTGCTGCTGCTGGTGCTGATGCTGCTGTTGATGCTGATGCAGCACCAGGAGAAGATATCAGCACTTTGGAAGGGGGATGATGGGGCTTGGGGAAAGCAGTGCGGATAGCAGAGGCGGAGACGGCGGAGGAGGTGGTGCTGGTGCTGGTGGTGGTGGTAGGGATGGTGTGGGGGGTATGGGGTGGTTAGGGACAGGGGAGAGTCAGATGCTTGCTGCAGAGATGCACTGGCAGATGCTGAGACAGCACAAGTGGGAGCTGTATCACGCTCAGAGGGCGCAGCAGAGGGAGCAGGCGCAGGCGCAGGCGCAGGCGCAGGAGCAGGAGCGGGAGCGGGAGCAAGAGCAAGAGCGGGAGAGGGAGTGGAAGCGGGAGCTAGAGCAGGAGCTAGAAGGAGAGGAGGCAGGGGAAGGACAAGGGGAAGGAGAGGTGAGGGAGTGGGAAGGGCAGGTGCTTAGACAGCACAAGTGGGAGGTGTATCACGCAGAGAGAGTGCAGCAGAGGGCGCAGGAGTGGGAGCGGGAGCGAGAGAGGGAACTGGAGCAGGAGCAGGAGCAGGAGAAGGAGCAGGAGAAGGAGAGGGAGCGAGGGGAGGCAAAGGAAGGAGAAGGGGAAGGTGAGGTGAGGGAGTCGGAAGAAGGGATGAGAGGATATGGGGAGGGATCGGAAGAGAGGGGGAGGCGTGAAGAGCGGTTGTGGGGTTTCAGCAGGGCACTAGAGGAGGTGGAGGAGGAGGAGAAAGAGGAAGATGAGGGTGGGTACGGGAGATATTGTTCAGGAGAAAGGAAGGGGCGAAGCGAGGTGGAAAGGAAGGGCGAAGTGGAAGAGGAAGAGGGAGAAAAGCACCCTTCGGCAGAGCGGAGAGGGGAATATGCGGAACGCAAAGTGAGCAATCAAGGCAGGGGTGCACCAGAGCGTGTGGCAGAAAGCAGCGGGGCGGAGAGGGAAGAAGAAGAAGAGGGTAGAAAGGAGGAGTGGCAAGGAAGGAGGCAGCACGGAGCAGAGAGCAAGCAGCAATCGTTAGAGGCGTTAGAGGCACGGGATGAGGAGGAGGAGGAGGAGGAGGAGCAAGCTCAACAATACGACATGCCTCAGCTGCTCAAATCCCCCACCATCCATCCGACCGCCTCTGCTCGGTCCTCTGTTCCTTGGTCTCGCTACTCTTCCTCCGCCCACTGTAGTGATAATGACGACGACTATGGTTCCGGTGGTGGTGATGACAGTCAACAGCATCACTACCCCAGAAGCACAGCACGGGCTGGTCTGCTGCCTCACTGCCGGCCCCCCACACGAGGCCTCTCACTACCTGCCAACATCCATCCCACCCCTCCCATGTACTCCCCATTCATCCACCCATTCGCCAGAACAACCGCTGCTGCCGATGCCGCTGCCACTGCCGCCGCCGCTGCTGTCACTGCTGCTGCTGCGTCTGCTGCTGCGGATGGGAGAGGGGTTGATGATGCTCATACCGATTTTCTTTCCATCGATAGTTTTGATGATTCAGATGATGCTGATGCTGGTGCTGATGCTGATGCTGATGCTGATGCTGATGCTGATGGTAAGAGCGGTAATCCTGCTGCTTCTGGTTCTTCCAGCCATGCCTCTGCGTCCTCCCTCTCCCTGCATCCCTTCCGCCTGGCTCTCGGCCTTCGGATCGGCACAGAGGACGACGAGGATTCTTTCCATATAGACAGCTTTGGCAGCCGGGGGAGTGACAGTAAAGGGTGTGACAGTAAGGGGAGCAGGGGGAGCAGGGGGAGCAAGGGGAGTGACGGTAAGGGGGGGGATGGTAGAGGGGGTGAGAAATGGTTACCGCTGCTGACGCCTGCATTTGTGAGGAGCAATAGTGATGTGGGGAGCCCTGCGTGGAAGAGAGGGGAGGAGAGGCGGAGTGCGTGGGAGGCGGATAAGATGAGGGCTGGGTATAGGAGACGGTTTGAGGAGCATGCAATGGGAGGGAGAGAGTGGTGAGGAGGGGAGAGAGGATGGGGTAGAGGAGGGGGAGGGTTGTGTGGTGGAGGAGAGAGAGGGAGGGGTGGAAGGGAGAGAGGGACGGGTGGAGGAGGGGAGTGGAGGTAGGTTGGAGGAGAGGGAAGAGTGTGAGGAGCAAGTGAGAGATGGGAGGATGGCAATGCATGCTGAGATGATGGGTGGCAAGGAGGAGGCACAGGAAGAGGACACACATGAGGAAAACGAGGAAGAGGATGGGGAGGAGGATGATGGGGATGAGGACGAAGAGGAGGAGGAGGAGGAGGAAGAGGAGGTGGAGGAGGAAGAGGAGGAGGAGGACGACGAGGACGAGGAGGGGGAAGAGGATGAGGATGAGGAGGACGATGAGGAGGAGCAAGAGGATGCGAGCAACAGTGAGTGTGTGAGCGAGGAGAGTGGAAGCTTCTGGACCGAGTCGGAGGGGAGCAGCATGCAGTACCATCCCAATCCCGCTCTTGAGGCGCCTCAAAAGGAGTCGGAGGGGAGCAGCATGCACTGCCACCCCAACCCCGCTCTTGCCACCCTCACTGCTTCTTCTGTCCCCGATTCAACGGTTTCTGTGTCTACTGGTGCTGACGGTGCTACTGCCACCACCACACCAAAACCTAGCTTGGCTGCTGCTGCTGCTGCTGCTGTTACTGGCGCTGGTGGTGCGAGGGCAGCGGTGGGTGTGATGGAGCAAGGCGAGGTGGTTCACAGAGTGGTGGTCTCTTCCTCCATTATGGATCTCCTAGTCAGGACTGCCAGTCAGCGGCAGCAGCATCTGGAACAGGTGTTGGTTGGGGAGGAGGGAGTGGGAGAGGGAGAAGGGGAGGGTGTGGGGGGGAGTGAAAGCGGGGGTGTGGGGGAGAGAGGAGATGAGAGTGTGGGGGAGGAGGATAAGGGGTGGGAGGGGAGAGGAGAGCGGAGAGGATGGAAGGGAAGGGTGGGGGGTCTGAGCAGGTGTGTTTCGGAAGGAGAGTGGTATGAGAGGTTAAGAGAGGTTGGAGGGGTGACGGGATGGGGGGGATCAGAAGGATGGGACAGGAGGGAAGGGGGTGAAGAGGTGAAAGGAGGGGAAAGGGAAGAGGGGATAGGAGGGAGGGAGGGAAGGGAAGGGCTACAGGTGTGGGGGGGAATGGGGTCAGGGCAAGAAGGCTTGAGGCATGACAGAGGCAGAACTGGGCGCAAGGGCGGGAATGGTGATGGTAGTGGTAGTGGGAGCGGGAGTGGCAATGGCAGTGGCAGCACCAGTGGCAGCGGCAGTGGCAGTGGCAGTGGCAGTGGTAGTGGTAGTGGGAGTGGGAGTGACAGTGGGAGTGAGGGTGGGGGTGAGAAGGCGAGTGGGGAGGAGCGAGTGGATGGAAGGAGAAGGACGAGCGATGTGGGTGCTGCACTGCGCATGATGGGAAGAGAGGAACGGGAAGCTGCACAAGGGGGCGATGGGAGCGGAGTGGGTAGTGTTGGTGATGGCGATGTGCGTGATGGCGATGTGCGTGATCCCGGAGGGGAAGTAGGAGAAGGAGGAGGAAGGGGAGTGGGAGGAGGATCAGAGCAATTAACACAAGCAGGGCAACCAGAGCAACCAAGGCTATCGGATTCAGAGTGGAGGCGGGCAGGAAGCAGGTACCTGCTGCCTCTCCCCCCCCGAAAGACTACTGAGGCGCCTCAAGATTCAGAGTGGGGGCGGGCAGGAAGCAGGTATGTGCTGCCTCTCCCCCCCGGGAGGCAGCAGGCACGGGTGCTGCAAAGGGGGCACTCCTTAGATGAGCGGGGGAGCATGGGGGGAAGGGGGTTGCGTGTGCTGCGAGTGGCAGGGATTAGATGGGGGAGCGGGTCTGGGAGGGATGGAGACGAGTGGCACGCAGCGGCTTGCTCTGCTGCTGCTGCTGGTGCTGCTGCTGCTGCTGCTGCTGCTGCTGCTGCTGCTGCTGCTGGTGCTGCCGCTGATGCTAGTGCTGGTGCTGGTGCTGGTGGTGTGGGTGGAGTGTTGGTTGCGAAAGGAGGGAGGAAAGGGAGGAGTGAGAGTGGGGGAGGTGAGAGTGTAAGCGGTTGGAGTCGGGAAAGTGCGGAGGTGAGGGAGGGAGTGAGAACGAGAGGAGGGGCGGTGGAGGTGGAAGAGGAGGGGAGTGAAAGCACTTTGGATGTGGAAGAGGAGGGGAGTGTTGGAATGCCTACTGGAGGGGACGTTCTTAACGCGGATGGTGCTTCTGCTGCCCAGCTCGATGCTTCTTCCTCACCTGCAACAGCAGCACCGGCAGCAGCAGCAGCAGCAGCAGCGGTGGCGGCGGTATGTTTGTCTATAGCCAACATAGGTAACCTGCACCTGCCATCAACGCCACCTGCTGCCGCTGCTGCTGCTGCTGCTGCTCGTGCTGCTGCCACTGCTGCTGACACAGCATTGTCATCTCTACCACTGCTGATGGGAGATAGAGTGGTGGAGATGGGAGATGGGGTGGTGGAGATGGGAGATGTTGTGGTGGAGATGGGAGATGGTGGAGATGAGGAGATGGGCAGCAGGAGGATTGGAGGTAGCAGAGGCTCTGCGTTTCGCCTTGATGCTCATGCTCATGCTCATGATGCTGATGCTGATATTTTGGGTCGGGCTGCTGCTTCGGCTGCCGCCGCCGCCGCTGCCGTTGCTGCAGCTGCTGCTGCTGAGTATGAGGAGGAGGAGGAGGACAGTCAGAGCATGACCAGCGTCAGCACCATCAGCAGCAGCAGCTGCAGCAGCAGCCCGGACTCTCAACCCGTCCTTAGAAGATTCAGCCCTTACCAGAGAGCCGCAAACCCAAGCGCTTGCATAGCCACATCTCGCTCCCTCTCCTCCTCTCCTTCTCCCTCCTTCACTCCTTCTCCTGCCCACTCTCCTCCCCACTCGCTTGCTCTCTCTCTCACTCGCTCCTCCAACCCCCCTACCTCGAAGCCCCAATCGGAGAGAATCGCTCTCCTGCGCCCCACGTCCTCTCTCCCTTCCAATATCCCCTCCTTTGCTCTTCTCCCTCCTCACCCACGTCCCCCTTCTGCCACCACAAGTCATCCTCGTCACCACCACTCCTCTGCACCATCATCACCATCACCATCACTATCCCCACCAGCACCATCAGCACCATCAGCAGCAGCAGCAGCAGCAGCAGCATCTACAGCCAGACATACACCCTCTCTCCATTCCCATCCACCACCACCACCACCACCACCAGCAGCTTCTCCCATCCAACCTCCGGTCATCATCCCCCTCACCACCCCCTCTCCCTCAACCACCTCTGGTGATGCGCTTTCCCAACTCTTTCCCCTGCCACCGCCGCCACCGCTTGTCATCGCCGCTCGCCCCCAAACCGCATCACCAGCCGTGTCACTATCAACACCATCACCAACAGCACCCCCATCGGCGCCAAAATGGTCCCCTAGCCGCCCCCCACCGGTCCCCACCCCACGAACACCCTCCCATTCCCCTCCCTCTCCCTCCAGGCGACCTGCCCGCTCCTCTGTACTTCCCTCCAGCCCACCAGTTGGAACTTCTCCTCCACCTCTCAGTGCGGGTAAGCCTGCTGCTTCTCAGCTGTCCCTGTCCCTGTCTCGCGCGCCAGTGGTTCCACGGGATTCCAGTGCAGCAGCAGAAGCAGCAGCAGAAGCAGGAGAAGCAGCAGAAGCTCCTGTTGTAGCGAGGTCACCTGTGGCAGGGCTTCGATGGGGCAAAGGCAGTGGAGAGACGGCCGAGAAGGAGGAGAGAGTTCTGTCAGCTGCTGCTGCTGCTGCTCGTGATGCTGATTATTCCTCTTCTTCTTCTGCTGCTGCTACTTCTGCTGCTTCTGCTGGTGCTGATGCTGCTGCTGCTGCTGCTGGTGCAGTTGCTGCCGCTGGCGTTGGTGCTAGCAAGGACCTTGAGGCAGCAGCGGCGGGGGAAGGGCAAGGGCAGTGGGTGCAGCAGGGGAGCTTGCAGCGGCAGACATCTATCAGACGACACGAGGCAGTATGGGCTCTTGTGGCACGACAAGGCTCGTCCTTTGAGGCACCTCACAACACGTCCTTTGAGGCACCTCACAACTCATCTTCTGAGGCGCCTCAAACGTTGCAGCGGCAGACGTCTGTTGGACGTAACAAGGCAAAGCGGGCAGCAGAGGGCGAGGCTATGGCTGCGGGGGCAGCAGTTCCAGATCAGAGTGACAGAGGAAGCTATGGGACAGGTGCGGCTGGTGGGATGGGTGAGACGGGAGGGATGAGTGAGACGGGTGCAGGTGCGAAGCTGGTTGAGGGTGACACGAGTAGCGATGGGTGGGACGAGGGCAAGGGACGTGTGGGAAGGGATAGGGGGCGGACGAGACGTGAAGAGGGGGGAGGGTCTGGGAGGTTGGGTAAATGGGCATGCGGTGCAGGTTCGGACGGGAGTGAAGGATCTGGTTCGGAATCAGGGTCGAGTGAAAGATCGGGGTGCCGAGGCAGGGTTGGAGCGATGCTTTCGTCTCCTTCTGCTGCCACGGCTAAAAGGCTCTCCATACCCCCTTCTGGTGCTGCTGGTGCTGGTGGTGGTGCGGCTGTTTCTCTTGATTCATACACTCTTCCCGCTGTTGCTGCCGATGTAGCTGCGGGCTCCGACAATGCTGGAAGAGGCATGCCTGATGCTGCTTCAGCTGCTGCTGCTGCAGCTGCTCAAGCCAGCAGCACTGCTACTACCTCCACCACCATCACCACAACCACCAGCAGCTCCAGAAGTCCCACTACCATCACCGCTCCTGCTGCTCCCGCTCCTCCTTCCCCTCCTGCTGTTTCTGCTTCTCCTGCCGTTGCTTCCGCCACAGATACTACCACTGCTGCTCTCCTCACCACCACCACACCTGCTGCCACTCCCACCACTGGCAGCATGAGCAGCAGCAGCAGCACCAGCGGCGGCGGCGGCATGAACATGAACCCAGTAGAACTACTCAAAGAGGAAATGGCAAAAGCAGACCCAGTGGGTATATTAGCAGCATGCGAGCTGCTGCGGCACCTCTCCCGCCGCGGCACGCGCTGGCGGGAATACATAACCGTGGCTGGAGGGATCCCGCCGCTCCTAGCTCTCACGCAGGCTCGGCAGCTCCCGGACCTGGTCGAGAGCTCCATTGCTGCGCTTCGGAACGTTTCTATCCTGGATGTGAACCAGCGGCTGCTGCAGGTGGCCGGCGCCGTTTGTCCTGTTGTGGAGTTGCTGGAGCATGTGTGTGCGTGTATGGTGTGGCACGCGGGGGGTGGCGGGGGGAGTGTGGGTAGTGGTGGGGGGAGGGAGGGGAATGTGGGTGGGAGTGGGAGTGGGAGTGGGGAAGGGGGTGGATGGGACTGCAGCAACATTAACAACAGTGCCACCACGACAGGCAACAGGAGCAGCAGCCAGCGCAGAGCAAGCAGCAGCAACAGCGGCAACAGCAGCAGCAGCAGCAGCAACGCACCATCCAAAAGTCGTCCCATAGCAGAGGCAGCAGCATCGGCCCATGTGACATTCAGTGAGTCAGCCAGCCGGACCATCCAGGAGCATGCAGCTGCAGTGCTGTTCAGCCTTGCCAAGAACAACGACATGAAGAAGGAGATTGCGAGGCTCGGAGCCATCCCGTCTCTGGCTACTGTGTTTATTTTCACCTGCCCGCCCTCCTCCTCCGCCTCCTCCTCTCACTCCTCTGCTTCCACCTCGTTTTCCTTCCACCTCCAGCCCTCCCCTCCTCCCTCCCCTTCCTCCCTCCCTGCGCATATCATCGCTCTGCGCCTCTCCATCTACCGCCCGAACAAGCCGCTGATCGTGGCGACGGGAATCGTACCCCATATAGTGAGCACCGTTTGCGAGAGGGACGACGTGCGGGGTACTCTGGTGGAAGACTGTGCTGTTCTGCTGGCGTCTCTGGCTGCAGCAGGGGAAGGCCGGCAGGCGATTGTGAATGCCGGAGGGATTGCTGGAATGCGGAGGGTTCTTGAGGAGGGGTCGAGCCTTGGGAGGGAGGCGGCAGTGACGACGCTGCTGCTGGTGGCGGCGGAAGGGAGGGAGTCGTGGAGGGAAGAGGTGGTGGGGTTGAGGGTGGAGGCGTTGCTGGGGAGGATGGTGGAGGGGAGGGGGCAGACTGAACGAGGCAGGAGGAAGGTGAGCAGGAGCATGAGTTTTCACATACACACATGCATCCACATGCGCACATGCATGATGCATCCACATGCATCCACATGCGCACATGCATCCACATGCGCACATGCATCCACATGCGCACATGCATCCACGCGTGCATGCGCGCGCCCACACATACATGCACATGCTATGGTGTCCATTCCTTGTTACGTTTCAGCACACACCCAGCATGCATACCCATCCACTGCTCCTCTGATCCTCCCATGCATCCACTGCTTGTCTGTACTGGCAGGCACGAGAGCTGCTTCAGCTCCTCACTGAAGCCCAGCAGACCCAGCAGCAAGATCACGAGCAGCAGCAGCGGCAGTTGCGTGGTTACGAGCATGAGCATGCACAGCAGCAGCAGCAGCAGCAGGAGCAGCCGTATGAGCTGCAAGAGCAAGAGCACAATCAGCAGCAGCAGCAACGTCCACGCACAGCACATGGACCACGCATGCCCCATCACACACCACCACACACAGCCTCTCAGAGGCAGGTGAGTCTGGTGAACAGGGAGAGGGAGGAGGTGCGCAATAGGATCTCCCTGCACCATCAGTACACTCTTCAGCCTGCTCCAGTTGGGTAGCATTTTGTGCCTTGGGTGAAATATACTGTACTGCAAACGGTTTTTGACTTGTGTTGTGTGTATCAAAGTTCCCTTAGTGTTTTGAGGTTTGCGTGCTAGGACAGGAAATATACGGTACCGTAGCTATGGGCTGAAGCAGTGAACCGAATTTAAGATCCAGAATTGCGTTGGTTTGATGAAGGTAGTCCCCCTACCTAGTGGCCCCAGTACACAGGGCATCTTATCAATATGACATTTGAGCTTGAAGTCCTGAGTCCTCCTGACTGACCGTCAGAGGTTCAGTTGAGTCATTGTAAAAGCACGTATACTTACAATGGGTACACGAAAGGGAAAACAAGTGCCACTGCCACATCCTGAGAGTGGGTACAATATACCTCACAACCTACAGCCAGGGGTGACGACCCTACAGCCTAGGAGGCTCTCCCGGATGCTCAATCTGAAGCTGCACCACCACCACCACCACACGCATGTGACACTGACAGGGTTGGTGTTGGTGAATTGTGGCAAAAGGATTAGACACTGACAGGCTTGGTAATTCACGCAAATCAGAGCCAACGGACCGGAGTAGGTGTGTTAGACACTGCATCAGTATAGCCTTGAACAGAGCGAAACAAATCTCCATAATTGACATGAGATGAAACATTTACAGGCGTGAACAGACTACATAGGTCCTGCCAGAGCAGGCGGCAGAATTATCGGCTGATTGGACGAGAGCATCGCATAACGTGCGACTAGATTTATATATATCTCAACAACCAACTAATTCGCACGGCCCTCCTTCGCCATCTTCGTCTGGATATGGAACTTCACATCCTCATAGCTCTGGTTCGTCACGCCCGTGTCCCACTCGCCAGACAGCACGCCATGGCTCTTATCCGACATCAGCGGCACCACCTGCTCCGCCGCAGGAGCAGCCGACCCCGCGGGAAGGTTCTCGAGAAGGTGCTTGGAAAGATCCTCGTAGCTGAGGATCGAAATGCTCTTGTCCCACTCGCCGGACACGACGCCGTGCGACCGGTGGGCCTCGAGCGGCACGAAATTCGCCTCCGCGTCTTCCTGAAGACCTTGCACGAGCGTCGCCTCGAAGAAAGTCGAGAGGTCTTCGTAGTGAAGCATCGACACGCTCTTATCCCACTCGCCGGACACGATGCCGTGTCTTCTCGTGGCCGTCAGAGGAACCGGCTCCGTGGTAGCAACCTCGGAGTCCTCGACCAATCCGCGGATAAGAACGCTCTGGAGGTGATGTGATAGGTCTTCGTACGAGAGAAGCGACACGCTCTTGTCCCACTCGCCGGAGAGCACGCCATGGCTCCTGTCGGTGACGAGCGGACCACGTGCTGACGATGAGTCCGAAGCCGACGCGCGCGCAGCGAGACGGTTGAGGCATACAGACCAACGGGATGACGACGGAAGCAAGGAAACGGCGGAACCAGCAGCAGCCGACGAAGAGGCGGCGCGAAGCGAGGAAGACCTCGCATCGCTAACTCCCCGGCGGTCGAGGACCGCTGCGGAGCCGGAAAGCAAGGCAGAGGAAACAGCGGTAGCCATGACTTCTGTCTGTGCCTTCGCGCCTGCGCTGGTGACGGGCCGAGCCCAAGCCTGAGATGAGCCTGTTGCCGCTCTGATAATCGCTAAAGAGAAGTAATCGAGTGAGCTGCAAGTGACTGAAGAATTGAATGAGCGAGGGGGGGCTTTGTATCTGGAGCGGTTGGCTGGGTGGGATGCACGAGGGCCGGAGGGGTTCGCGGGGCTGGGAAAGCGGGGGAAGAGGAGGCGGAAAAGGGGGAATTTGGGGGAAAATTGTGGGAAAACCGTGTGGAGTTGGCGGAAAATGCATCGATGGAAAACAGGTGCGTGCGGAGGACATCTGCAGGGGAGGGGCGGAAGCAGCAGTTCACCTGCCCCTTTGCTCGCCAGATTTCCCTGGCGCTGCCCTTGACAGTGACACTCTCTCGAAGGACGGATTCAGCGGAGCCACGCGTTGGCGGCGTCACTAGGCTAGCTGCTGAGCTCAACCACCCTTCACAGCCAGCTCACAGCCACACGAAAATCAGAGTTTGCACTGTGGGGTGGGGAAACGAGAGACGGGACGGACGGGTCGCGGTCACGGGTTTCAAGGGATCTCGTCTATGGGACGGGTAGTCAGATTGAACCGCAGGAAACCCTCAGAGCAAACTGGATGTTTCGAAACGGAACAAATATGAATCACGGAAGATATATAAAGCCAGAATAATAATCTTATAACTGTGCTCCATGAGCAGATGCAATTTCATGGGTATGCACAAAAGTCACTCTCACAGGCAGGGTTAAATGTTAAAGACAGCAGTTCCCCTGCGGTGCGGTGCATCATGACCCTGATCCGGTCACATGCATACGGATGACGGGCAGTTTGCCTCCACCACACAAAGGAAACTGATAACGGTGTGTGAAATGTGGTGGTGGTGTACGAGTGCCGGAAAAGTTATTTCGGCACGTGTCTGAATTGCAAAATGGGTACACTGTTCAAATTACAACGGGCAGATTTGTGTTCACTGCTGAACGCTACAACCACATATCTAAACTCCAAAAAAAACAATGTCGAACCAAGCGAGTGGTGAGTTGGATCTTTTTAGTTCCACGGCTGTGGTGAGAGGGAGGACAACGAGAATCGTGATTTTCTAGAGAGCAGCACCATTGGCTAATTGGATTACTTGGCAGCAAAGGTACCTGTGCCACGATGGAGGTGGTACTTGACAAGTCATCAAATCCGTGATCATTGGACAATATCGTAGAGACACCTTTTCCACCAATTGTAATTCCTCTTTCAGCACAAAATCTGGAAGAGGTGACATGGAACATGTGTGAATTGCGCTGACTGAGTGAAACAAGAAAGTCCGATACAAGCACTCCTCCATTGGAGTGCTAGAACTTCATGAAATACCGGAAGATATACGCATCCCGAGAGAGAATTCACCATTTTAACAAAAAGAGCACATGGAAAGCATTTACATAGGAACAGCTACAGACCAGACGTTATTTCAAGCAAAACCTCCCACTTCTCGCTCAACACTTGTAATTACAAGAGGTGCTGCAGCAGCAATTCCACCATTCCTTGTGCAGCATGCAGCATGGAGCGGTAGCATGGCCCATTTCTAATACCACCAGAGACACCAGCTCGTCCACTAGCTCCTCACTTTCCCCTCAGAGACACCAGCTCGTCCACTATAGCAGGATTGGAGAGAGATGATGTGTCACCCTGTCAGAAACAAACAGAAAAAAAAAAAAACAAAGAACATTGCGGTTGCGGATGTTTGTCAGTGGAAAATATGACAAGGAGGTGGTGTGAAGTGGAAGGCAGAGTTGGCAACATATCATTCCCCATCCCATGGCCACATGATTGCATCAATGGCAGTGACCCAGCTCTCATGTTTGAGTACCATCCCTTCCCTTCCTACCACCACCACCTTCCCCTCCTCTCCTCTCCCCAGAGCAATACTCCACCCATCCACTGTACCCCTAACCACCCCCTCTCACCCATTCTCACCCCCCATGACCCCATGACTCACGAGCTCGTCGAGCTTATTGGCGGCGATCTTCCTGAGGATGCGGCGCATGATCTTGCCGCTGCGCGTCTTGGGCAGCCCCGGCGCCCAGTGAATCACGTCCGGCGCCGCAAACGACCCGATCTGCACACAGCCACGCCACGCCACAAAAGGATACCGAAAGGTGGGGAGGATTTAGCAGGCAGTGCCAATGGTGTGACATGATGTGCGCCAATCCTGATGCACTGAAGGGCTTGCGCCAACAGAATGCCAACAAAATGCAGCTGACCCGAGCGCACGAGCAGCACAAATTCACACAGACGCGATCTCACCTCGTTCCGCACGGTGTCCTTGAGCGCCTTGCGCAGCGACTCGCTCGGCGAGATACCAGACATGAGCGTCACGAACGCGTACACGCCCTGCCCCTTCACCTCGTGGTCGTACCCCACCACCGCCGCCTCCGCGCACGCGGGGTGCGCGTCCAGCGCCGATTCCACCTCCTCCGTGCTGATGCGATGCCCGCTCACGTTGATGACGTCATCCACGCGCCCCGTCAGCCAGATGTACCCGTCGCGGTCGCGCCGCGCGCCGTCGCCCGTCGTGTAGTACCCCTTCCACACGCTGAAGTACGTCGCCTCGAAGCGCGCGTGGTCGCCGAAAAGCGTCCGCGCCATTCCCGGCCAGGGACGGCGCAGACACAGGTACCCCTCGCACGGGCCCTCCTGCTCGTTCCCCTGCTGATCCAGAATCACGGGCTCGATTCCGAAGAACGGGAGTGACGCGGAGCCGGGCTTTAACGGCCATGCGCCGGGGAGAGGCGTGATGCAGATGCCGCCGGTCTCGGTCTGCCACCACGTGTCGCTGATGGGGCAGCGGCCGCCGCCCACGACCTCGAAGTACCAGCGCCAGGCCTTGGGGTTGATGGGCTCGCCCACGGAGCCCAGCACGCGGAGAGATGCGCGCGAGTGGCGGCGCACGTACTACGGTGGGAGGCGGGGGAAGCGGTAGGGGAGGGAGGGGAGAGAGGTGAGGGAAGCGGGTGGAGGGGCGAGTGAGCGAGTGAGCGCATTTGTTGATGCATGCGTGAGTGCAAGAGTGCGACGCATATGCAGAGAAACCGAGAAGCAGAGAGACGTGAGAGCCAGCGAGGCAGAGACGCGAAGAGGCGGAGAGAGAGGCAGGCACTGACCGAGTCGCCGCAGGCCTCGAGGGAGCGGATGGCGGTGGGCGCGGTGTAGAAGATGGTGACCTTGTACTTGTCCACTATGTGCCACCACCGCCCCGGGTCCGGCCACGTGGGCGTCTGTCATTGGTCCACGGTAGAGTGGAAGGGGGAGGGAAGCGCGGAGGAGGGGGGAGGGAGGGAAGACAGGAGCTGACTCGTGAGTAACGAGGCTGTGGATGAGAGGGTGCTCACACCCACTCACATTCCCTCACATTCCCTCACATTCCCTCACATTCCCTCACATTCCCTCACATTCCCTCACATTCCCTCACATTCCCTCACATTCCCTCACATTCCCTCACATTCCCTCACATTCCCTCACATTCCCTCACATTCCCTCACATTCCCTCACATTCCCTCACATTCCCTCACATTCCCTCACATTCCCTCACATTCCCTCACATTCCCTCACATTCCCTCACATTCCCTCAGTGCCATTCATCTGATCACAAGATGTGTGCTCACTCACCCCTTCGAAGACCACAATGGTGGCACCGTTGAGCAGCGGGCCGTACGTGAGGTACGAGTGCCCCGTGATCCACCCGCAGTCTACAAAGCTGTGCCCACCTGAACACGCTTGGGCGCCCACGCATAATGCCGCCCAGCCATGTACGGTACGGTACGGTGCAGCACGGTACGGTGCGGTATACCACGGCAACAAAGCTCATATATGCTCTCATCTGATCAGGCGCTCTGCTCACCCCTTCGAAGACCACGATGGTGGCGCCGTTGAGCAGCGGGCCGTACGTGAGGTACGAGTGCCCCGTGATCCACCCGCAGTCCGCCGTGCACCAGTACACGTCGCCCGGCTTGTAGTCAAACGCGAACTTGAACGTGGTCGCTGCGTACACCATGTAGCCGCCTGTCGTGTGCACCACTCCCTGCATGGGGTGGGGAAGATAGACCAGAGAGAGGGGTGGGACGGGGGTCGGGGGCAAGGAGGGGAGGAGGGGGAGGGAAAGGGGGGGGGGGAGGAGAGGCAGCGGTGGGGGAGATAGGGAGGAGAGGGGAGAGGGGTAGGTGAGGAAACAGCAAGGGAGAGAGAGAGGGGAGTGTGCGGTCCGCCGTGCACCAGTACACGTCGCCCGGCTTGTAGTCAAACGCGAACTTGAACGTGGTCGCTGCGTACACCATGCAGCCGCCTGTCGTGTGCACCACTCCCTGCATGGGGTGGGGAAGATAGACCAGAGAGAGGGGTGGGACGGGGGTCGGGGGCAAGGAGGGGAGGAGGGGGAGGGAAAGGGGGGGGGGGGGAGGAGAGGCAGCGGTGGGGGAGATAGGGAGGAGAGGGGAGAGGGGTAGGTGAGGAAACAGCAAGGGAGAGAGAGAGGGGAGTGTGCGGTCGCGGTGCACCAGTACACGTCGCCCGGCTTGTAGTCAAACGCTAACTTGGAAGGTGGTGGCTGCATACACCATGTAGCCGCCTGTCGTGTGCACCACTCCCTGCAGGGTTGGGGGAGACCAGGGGGAGGGGCGGGATGGAGTGGGAGTGGGAGTGGGGTTTGGATGATGGGAGCAGGAGTAGGAGTTGGGCTGATAGTGACGAGGAGAGTCAAGAACCTCTGAAGAGCAGGCGAACTGAGGTGACATGCCTGCAAAGCCCCTCTGCATTCACGTGCTCCTCATTACAACTTGTTGAACTAACCCATAACAGCATGGCACGCTCTCAAACGTGTGTCACAGGCAGCAGCAACATGCATCCACCTTGGGCTTGCCGGTGCTGCCCGAGGTGTAGAGCATAAAGAGCGGGTCCTCGCTCGCCATCCACTCCACGTCAGCGTCCGTGTCCGTGGGGTACGGTACGAGCCCACCACCAGCCCCATACAACAAAGCACACCACATCACCGTGCACCACCGCACACCACCGCAGCAGGTCAGGTAAGAAACGAACCTTGGGCTTGCCGGTGGAGCCCGAGGTGTAGAGCATGAAGAGCGGGTCCTCACTCGCCATCCACTCCACGTCAGCGTCCGTGGGGTAGGTCCCCACCACCTCCTGCCACCACACGTCGCGCCCGGGTGTGAACGCACACTCGTGCCGCGCCATGGCCCGAGAGTTGTCGTACACCAGACACGTCTCTGGAGAGAGAGGGAGGCGGGGGGTAGGAAGGGGGAAGTGAGCTTTGAGACACCTGAAAGTGCCTCGCCATGGCCCGCGAGTTGTCGTACACCAGACACGTCTCTGGAGGGAGGGGAGGTACAGGAAAGGGGTGATATGAACTGAGGTGGAGCGGGAGGAGCGGGAAGAAGGGATGTGATGTTGGCTGGTAAGGTCAGCGGATGGGTGGAGTGGCAGAGAGGCAGGCAGAGGGGCAAATCAACGCAGGCATCACATCACTCAAGAAACGTATGCAAGCAAGCACAAGCAAGCAAGCAAGGAAGCAAGCAAGCAGGCAGGCGGCACTCACGGATGTGCACGTTCTCCCTGTCGGAGCAGATGCGCAGAGCAGAGTCCGCAATGTCCTTGAGCGCCAGCAGCTTTCGCAATTCACTTCCAAGGATCACTCACGGATGTGCACGTTCTCGCGGTCGGAGCAGATGCGCAGGGCGGAGTCCGCAATGTCCTTGAGAGCCAGCACCTTGTCTCCGCGCCGCACGGCGCTGCACGTGAGCAGCACCTTGGGACGGCAGTCCACCATGCGCCCCGCCAGGGACTCCGCGGAGAAGCCCCCGAACACCACCTGCGCGGGGGAAGGAATTGCGGGGAGGGGGAGATGTGAGATGTGGGGGCAGGGAAAAGGGGTGAGCAGCAACTCGGGACGGCAAAACCATGCGCCCCGCTAGGGACTCCGCGGAGAAGCCCCCGAACACCACCTGCGCGGGGGGGAAGGGGGATGGGGAGACGGGGGGGGAAGGGGGGAAGGGGGAAGATGGGGGAGAAGGGAGAGATTAGAGACGAGAGAGGAGGGTGGCTGATACGCGGCGTCATTCAAACTGGTAAAGGAAAAAAGAGTGGTTGTTCCAGGAATGCTTCTCCACAAAAGCTTTGTCTAGAAAAAAAAAACAAAAAGGAAAAGGCTTTGGAGATTCGCAAGGAAAAGGGAAGAGGAGGGAGCAAGCCTTACGGAGTGGATGGCGCCGATGCGCGCGCATGCGAGCATGGCGATGGGGAGCTCGGGCACCATGGGCATGTACAGACACACCGTGTCTCCCTTGCGCACGCCCGCTGCCCGCAGGAAGTTGGAGAGCTGATAGCGAGAGGAGAGAGGAGAGAGGAGAGATAGATGGGGTATACATGACAAGAGGGATTAGAGAGGAGAGACAGGAAACAAACACACTGTAATTTACTTACCGCCCTGGGGATTTTGATACCTAGCAATAGTCGTCATTGCCATGAAATAAAGTGTAATTGCCACGTTGTAACGCTCTAGTAGCTGCAAAACCTACTTTGATTGGTCCACCAGCTGTCCCATACCCATCACATGACATCACCACACATATTGTGACAGATCAACCTGACAGTTCCCACAGCTCCCCCCCCCCCCAAGCCCACATCCCACCACATTCCCACCTGCCCACCTCCCCCCCATCCGCGCCTTCCCCCTCCCCCTCACCTGGTAGATCTGGTCGAGCAGCTCGTTGAAGGAGAGGCGCGCGGCTATTGTAAGGCGCCACAAAAACAATCCCCCGCACACGCATTCCCCCCATCCGCTCGTTCCCTCCCCGCCACCCTCCCCGCCACCCCCCACCCCACCCGCCCCGCACCTGGCAGATCTGGTCGAGCAGCTCGTTGAAGGAGAGTTTCGCGTCGTCCCCGGGGTCGTTGCCCTCCCACAGCATCGCCGTCGTCTCGCCGCGCCCCGCCGCCACGTGGCGGTCCACGGCGTTGAAGCACACGTTGGTGTAGCCGCCCGGGAACCACTGTTGGCCGTTGTTGCGGGGTGGGGGAAAGATAGGGGTAGGAGTGGGGGAAGGGGGGAGGAAGAGACGGCGGCGAGGTAAGGTTTCAGAGAAGGGTACGAGCGGTCCACGGCGTTGAAGCACACGTTGGTGTAGCCCCCCGGGAACCACTGTTGGCCGTTGTCGCGGGGTGAGGGGAAGAGAGGGGTAGGTGCGAGGGAAGGGGAGAAGAAGAGACGGGGAACCACGGCGTTGAAGCACACGTTGGTGTAGCCGCCCGGGAACCACTGTTGGCCGTTGTTGCGCGGCGACGCGACGACGGGAGGAGGAGCGATGGGGGGGGGAGAATGAGAGACCGCAAGGAGCCGGGGAAGGCAGGATTTCAGAGAAGAAAGAGCGAGAGTCGGAACGAGAAACGAATGCGGAGAGCCGCGACTCGAACGAGAGCAATGCGATACACAATCCAACTCAAAATTCGCTTGAGCTCAAAATTCTGAACTCTATGTGGTGGTGTAGACCGAGCGGGCCGCGCGCGCACACACCTCGACGGCGACGGGTCCGTTGCGCACGTCGAAGTTGTGGCGCACGATGGACGCGCCGGCGTCCCACTTCTTGTGCCAGAAGAACTCGCTCGCCACGTTGCCCCAGAAGCGCGTCGGGTTCTCGATCGACTGCCGCCACATTTGGTCGTACTGCAGAGAAAGAACGAACAAAGAAAAGACGCGGGGTTCGCCGCGGGGTGGAAGCAGCGGGGCGAAATGAGGAGGAATGAGACTGGAAACTGCAAACATACGAGTAGACTCGAAAAATGACTGCTCACGAGAGCAAACAAACTTCATTGCGACGTGAACGTCGGAGCGTCTTCTGCAGTTACAGGATTACTACCAAATTAGGTCAGCAGTAACGCCCAGTGCGTCATCATCGGATATCAGTAGTAACAAACAATGTTACCTGAAGTCGGTTGCGCACGTGCGCCTGCCAGCTGAACTCGGGCCCCACGTGGACCACCTCCTCGTCGATGTGCCCGTGCGGGTGCAGCGTCTCCGCCGCCGCCGTCACCGCCGCCGCGGTCGCCGCGCCGCCCAGAGGGACGATGGAGGAGCAGGGCTCGAGGGAGAGCGGGCGCGGCACGGAGTGAATAAACTCATGCGGAACCAGGTGCCTGGAAGTGCGGGCAGAGAGGTAGTAGTGGAGATTAAAGACGTGTTACCTACCAGACGAATAAGGTGCTATGCAGCGTTCACCCAACATTGTGAAGATAGGAGAGCGCTTTTTACAAATTGTGCTTCTTGGGGTTGCAGGAAAGGAAAAGGCTGCAATGGCTCACCTTAACGACATCGTAAGCCGCCTTTCGGCTTTCTCCCTGCCGTTGTCGTCATCGGCTTGGTTCGGCAAGATCCAACGGCTCCGAGGAACGATCGCCATCCTTGAATATCTCTCGGAATGAATGCAGACGCTCGTCACCCAGAGGAAACGCTTGCCTTGAAAACTGCAGACGAAAGAATCGCACTGCCAACGAAGACGATGACAAGATGAGACAATCTCGAGGCCCTCGTATTACAGAGAGGGCCGGTGCCTATGAGCCGACTCAACAGGCACCTCGCGTCGAGTTTGCGCGCGAGGACGTAAAAGTAGTCGGAAATGAGATGTCAGGCCGCACGGAAAAGAATGACAGATGGTGTGCGAGTGGGAGGAGCTTTATAATTCGCACCCTAAAAAATCTACACCTTTCTTCGCTCCTCCTCGTGACATGCGGCCTCATGCCGCAGTTCCCAGAGCTGACAGAGCAACCCCTGTCGCGGCGAGCCGCGCATTGGTGCTTGCTTGCTCCCTCGATGACAGGTCGGCCTGCAGGCATTTCGGCGAAAGCACGGCGTGCAATACGTGGGCGAGGAACAGGTCAGTTAGGGGTGGAGCTTGCGTGGAGTGGATATGGATGTTCCACGCATGCCAGCGGGAAGCATCAGTTCTGTGAATTCAACGAATGAGCCAACGCGGTTGGAGCACCGCTTCTTTTGATTGATTGGCCGTTAACTGGTCCCAACAAGCTGTCCGCCTTTTATGAGGAGTCGAAATGAGAACGAAATGTTCGTCTACACGCCAAATACGGCATTCCTTTCGTCAGAAGGACTATGCACCACTCATTATCTTAATGATATCCTGGTTGACAAAATTTTACAGCTTATAATATATTATTACTAGTTGGGTTAATATGTTAGATGTTATGCAGTTATGAAGCTATAAGAGCTCTACAAGTTCTGCAGTATAATATAAGAGTTACCAATTTTGTATTCTAGACATCCTAACGCGATGACGCTTATCGCATGATTCAACGCAGCCGTAACCCTGCCATGCCAACCTGACCTCCAACTTGCCACGTGGAGCAGGAGCTTCCAGTGGGCACGTCGTGCTACGTACATATGGGCACTGGGCAGCGCACCGTCGCAACGCAAGACTGTGCATAATCCCAACTGTTTGTTTTCCTCTTCGCCCTCTCTATCGCCTTCTTTTTCAGTAAGTTCCATTTGCCACCAGTCGAAGGTTGCACTTATGCTTGTTTGGGTGAGGATGGTAGTTGATTCATGTACCACGGCTCCACTTAGGAGGTTGAAATGGATGTTGTCTGTTGCCACGCGGTCTGCGATGCTGGCTTGGCTGTAAAACTAAAAAGAAAACGGGTCATACTGTACGGGCAAGCAAGGCCGATTGGGTGCAATTGTTCCTGTACAATTGATGCCCAACCAGTGCACGCGGATTTGCCTTGCGCCGGATGGAAACGCTGCACCCGAGGTTGTTTCCCCAGCCTGTTGCTCCCACGTTATAAGCGCGTCGCGTGGTTATCAACCAATAGTAACGAGCAGACCGAGGTCAAGCAGAAGAGACTGAAGTCAAATAAGGTAACAGATCTTGTTTATAAGCACCTGCGAATCCTTTTTAGCTAGCTGCGAATTGACGAAATTTATGCGAAATGCTCGTTACAGCTTATACGCCCCCTTCACAAGGCAACCGGGAGGGGCTCAAACAGGCATCAATTGTAATTGACGAGCACATCCCCCCTTTGTCGAGTCGCCATAATCCGCAACAAGCCGAATTCCTGAAATCCGGCGGTGCCTCCAGCGAAATTGGTAGTTGGTAGCCTCGCGAATCGCGAAACGCGGAAAAACTCGCGAACGTGGTCTGTACAGGTGAGTTGTCGCCAGTTGGCGTTTTCACCAGGTGCAGCGAAACTCCGCGATTTCACGAGATACAAATACTCACCTCCAAGCAACCCGACACATCCCATTCTTTCAATCAGAAACTCGCACTACCTTACTTTCGACAGTCACACAATTTTATCATCGAACTTCCCAGTCATGGCACGATCAAGCATCGCTTTAGCCCTTCCGGCACTTGTGATAACGTTTCTCCTGAGTGGGTCTCAAGTTGCAGAGTCTAGGCGAATTCGTTTGGCAGAGACTCAGGAAACCCTGGAGGAGATTGCTATTCGCTTGAGAGCAGCCGCTGATCAGGCTGCTGCGGAGCTCGAAGCAGCTGAGGCCGTCGCCGACACTCGCGCCGCCGAAGAAGCGACTGCGGCCGCCAACGTGGCGGTGGCGGAGGTGGCGGCGGTGAAAGCCGCGGCGGATTGGCAGGCGGCAAACGCGGCGGCAAGCGCGGCGAAGGCCACCGCGAAGCATCGCAGAAGAACGCGACGGACGCGAAGCAGGCGACCGCGGGGCTGAAGAAGAAAGCGGAAGCCGCCGATAAGTATCAGAAGGCGCAGGAGAAGGCGCAAAAGGCGCTGGAAAAATCTGCGCAGGCGAAGGCGCGGAAAGACAAGGCCGTGTCTGCGGCAGGCGCGCAGCAGCAGGCCGCCGACGATGCGACCAAGGCGGCTGCGGACGCCGCCAAGAGCAAGGGCAAGGGCAACGGCGCGGCGAAGGCGGCGGAGGCGAAGGCGAAGGCGGAGCAGAAGAAGGCGGCGGAGCTGAACAAGGCCGCGCAGAGCGCATCCGCGGAAGAGTCCTCCGCAAACGCGGAAGCAACCAAGGCCGCCGCGGAGGCGGCGCGGACTCTCAAAGTGACCCTCACGCCGGAAGACCAGGCGCTTCTGGACAAAGCGGCTGCGGCGGAGGCGGCGGCGGCGAAGGCTGAGGCGGATGCCAAGGCGGCGGAAGACGCGGCGAAGGCGGCGGAAAAGGTGGCGAAAGCCGCGGCGGTGCGGCTGACGAAGCTGAGGGCGGCGCTGAGGGCCGCGCAGGCGCGCAGGGCGGAGGCGGACAGGATCGTGGAGGAGAAGACCGCGGCCGCGGAGGCTGCGGAGGCTGCAGCGGAGGCCGCGGAGGAGGCGGCTAGCCGCGCTGCTGGGTCGGAGGGTGCACCTGGTTCGGAGAGCGCGCCTGGCTCGGAGGCTGCCCCTGGGTCCAAGGCTGCTCCGTGAATGGTGGTGGCGGAATGAGAGGGCAATGATCAGCATAGTAAATTTAGGGGGGTTATTTGTTCATTCCATTCTTTTGCTAATTCATGTGTGCATAATCTGTACTTATTCATTTATTAGTGAAGCAGTTTTGCATTGATAATTGGCCACTCCAGCAATATTGCTGCATACACCAAGGAGGAAGTCTACAAAGCCACTATGGTCATGTAACTCACCAGCTGCTATCCCTGCCAGCCTCGCAAACAAGACCCAACTCATACGGTACCGTACCATACCATAAAATGTGAAACCCGTGATCACAAGCTAACTACGTTAACTCTATCAACATCACCTGCTTCAACTACTCCCCCAGCAGATGCGGGTTTGCCGCCCAGAAAGCGTCAGCAATGATGTCATCGTGCACCACCACCAGCTTGGATCGCTTGCGCACCACAGGCCGCCCGTCTGGGTGCTGCTTGCCGTCCACCTGCTCCTCCACCTGCCATGGCACGGGGGGAAGCGATAGTGCTGCATCGTGAGTGCATGCATGCAGCCAGATGGCTTCTTTTTTTAGCGAGCCCATTATGGGCACAACAATATAAATGAAACTGGGTGCCTCTGGCGTCATTGTAGCAGCAGCAGCAGCAGCACCTGGCGTCGGAAGATGGAGGAGCCTTTGCGGAAGATGGCGGGCAGGTCATTGTAGTTGATGCCAAAGCGCGTGAACAGCAGCTCGTTCTTTGCATCTGCCAACGTGCCCTTTGGCAGGTGGGGAGAAGGGAATGGGACGGGGGAGGAGGAGGAGGGCGAGAGGGGAGAGTGTTGAGGGGAGAGGGGGGCAAGAGAAAAAAAGGGTAGGAGTGTTGAGGGAAATGGGCAGGAGAATTGGATGGTGGAGTGAAACGGAGAGGAGGGAACGGTGGTGTGTGTACGGTGCAGTTGGTTGGGCGGGCATGTTGCAGTGAAGGGAAGGTGAGAGGGGGGTTGCAGTGAGGGTGGGGAAGGTACCTTGATGGTGTCCTGTGCCTCTTTGGGTGAGAGGCCAGACTTGACGAGCATCCAGAAGCATGTGTTGTACTGGTTGTTGATGTGACCTGCCAATTGGGGAAACGGGGAGATTTTTCTAGTCGATTCAAAAGTCACTGATTGTTGTTGATGTGATGTGAAACGCCATCTGGATCACAATCTATTTGGGGAAACGAGGCCCGCGGAAAATGGGACTCCGAAACCGATTCCAAAAATGCGTGTTTTTGAGAGGCAAAGAAAGGCATGGCAAGGCATGGAAAGGCAAGGAAAGGCAAGGCACGGTAAGGGAAACTGGCACTTTACTTGGCGCCAGGAGAGGTAGTCACGAAGCACATCAGAGGAGGGGTAGAGCTATGAGGCACCTCAGACTTTACAGTTGCAGAGGAGTTTTGAGGCGCCTCAAACAAAGTAAGGCATGGGAAGGGCAGGGCGCACTGACAGTCCACTTGGCGCCAGGAGAGGTAGTCTCGGAGCACAGCAGTGGAGGGGTAGAGCACGGCACGCGCATCAAAGGACGGCGGCGCGAGCAGGGGCTGTGAGGGGAAGTGGTTGGGCCACTGGTGGACGAAGGAGGCTGCGAATAGAGAGACCACCACTGATATCAGCTTGCTGCTCTGGCAGGCGGAGCAAGGGGTGGATGGGGAGAGAGGTGGTGGGGAAGAGGAGGGTGGGGAGAGAGGTGGGTGGGGAGACGGGCAAGCATTGGGGAGAGAGCAATACTTGAAGGGAAGTTACAATGGAGGGGACGACAGACAATGAGGGAGCAATGTTGGAAGGTGGGAACCAAATGGGGAAAATCTCAGAAAAAACAGAGTTAATTGTCTGAGGAAGGGCAGTGCTGGTGGGAGTTCAGTTGTGCCTGGCCTGCGCAACAACGCTCCGCTTCGGTTACTTTGTACTGTGACACAACATCAACCTGTTGAATCAGAATTCTTTTCACCTGATGCTCCCAATTCATCTGAGGCTCGCAATTCACCTGGCTCTTCTCTCATAAAGGTTGGAGTCACGGCGAATGACAAAGCTGGCACAGGGATGTAACCGGAGATGGGAATGGGGTAAAATGGGGCAGAATGGGGCAAGTTGAGGGAATGAAATAGAGGATAGGAGGAGAGGAGAACGACTGTCAATGACTAGTGATCGCATGGATGCAGAAAGACATGTTTCCTGGAGTAAAAAAAACACAACAGCACCGCACTGCTTGCAAATGGTCCTCTCTGAAAATAGTTACCAGCACAGGTGGCGCGATAAGGTTCTTTGAAAAGATAAACACATGTCTTTCTGCACCCTCCAGACGAGCACCCTCCTCACCTGAACTCGTCGCTCACGCCGAACGCGAACACGATTCCGGCACCTGCGCCATCACGGCCGTCGCCACTCTATAAACCCAAGCCTCAAAACCCAAGCCTCAAAACCCAAGCCTCAAAACCCAAGCCTCAAAACCCAAGCCTCAAAACCCAAGCCTCAAAACCCAAGCACACCTCTCACGCACCTGAACTCGTCGCTGACGCCGTACGCAAATACGATGTCCGGCACCTGCGCCATGACCGCCGTCGCCGCGGCGTTCATCAGCCGCAGCCCGCGCTCGTCGTTGGGCTTCTCGAACGCGTGATCCGTCACAAACCTGCGCGGGATGCGGGGAGGGGAGGCGGGGAAGGGGGGGGAGGGGAAGGTGGCGGGGCGGGGGATGGGGAAGGGGGGAAGAGGCACGTTCTCGTCGTTGGGCTTCTCGAACGCGTGATCCACCACGAACCTGCGCGGGATGCGCGGAGGAGAGGGGAGGCGGAGAGGGTGGCGGAGGGGGGCGGGATAGGGAGAGGAGGGTGGCGGAGAATGAAGCTGCGCGGGATGCGGGGATGCGCTTGCTCCGGTATGAAGCTGAGATGCCATGCACGCGGGGAGGCGGGGAGGCGACGAGGTGGGGAGGCCGGGATCCGGGAGAGGCGGAAGAGAAGAGACTACAGAGAACGCAAGCTCTCAAGATACAAGGCTATCATGAAAGGGCAGGGAGAGATCGCACGGACGGCAGACGGCAGACGCACTTGCTGAACCCCCGGCCGTCGATGCGAATGACGATCCAACATTGCGGCAGCAGTCTGTCCGGCTGCTCGAACTGCTTCACGTACTCGTACCGACTGTTCGCCATCGCGTGCCGTGCGAGCGCGCGCAGTAGCACGCCCACCCACGTACACGCGCGCGATTCACTCGAAGTATCGATCCGCGCTCTCGCTGTCTCGCGGACACAATCGTGAGATCTGAGCCGTTATATTGTCGAGAACCCGACTGGTCCTTCACAGCACTCAACGCAACGCAACGGCGCGGCAACGCCTTCGCACGAGGCCGACGCAAACTGAGCGAAGCAATCTAGAACGGGTAATCGCATTCGGGGTACGACGTGGGGAAGACGGCTTGAGCCTAGAATCCGATGACAAAACGCGATACACTGTAGAATACACTGTAAATGGACTGAAGTCTATTTGGGGCATAGTAGCATTCATAGCTAGCATACCGTAACCGTAAGTCTATTTGGGGCAGTGAAATGTTTCATTTTGCAAAAACCAAAGCAACTTTGTGCAATCCTTTTTATTGTGTTCATTTCTTTGTTCTTCACTCTCTCTAACATCCCTCTTCAACCCCCCCTCTCCCTTGCTGACTCCTGTCTTCATCCTCTAATCTCACTCGGTGCCTCAAACACCACTCCCTTGCACACACCCTCCAACCCCTCCCCAGAATGCGACACAAGTGGCGACACCTCCACTCCCTCATCCCTCTCTTCCCCTCCCTCACCCCCCTCCCCTCCCTCACCCTTCTCAACCCCTTCACCATCCACTCCACCCCTCCTCACAATCTGCCCGCCTGCCTCCCGCACCCATCGCGCGTGCAGGGACAGCACGTGCTGGCGGGCTGTGTCCGGTGAGTCAGCAGCAGCACCAGGGGCGTTCTTTACCGGTGAAAACTCCTCTCGTGCAACCTGCGGGGTGGGTGCGGTGAGGAAAGATGGGGAGGGGGGAGAGGGAGGAGGGAAGAGGGGAGAGGGGACACGGTGGAAATGCATCCAGACAGGTGCAGTGCGGTAGAGAGGAAGGTGAACAGGCTAACAGAGTGAGTAAAGAGAAGGTTCTAGAAGAGAGTACATCATCACGCAACACAGAGCAGACTAAGAGAGCGCAACTAACTAGCCTCTGGTATGCTGGTAAATTCAGGATTGCAGTCGAAACAGACGCACACAAGTAGTCACATGGGGAATGACTGGGTTAGCAAGGGAGAGGAGCACAGGGAGAGATAGGACCCAGGGAGAGATAGGACCCAGGGAGAGATAGGACCCAGGGAGAGATAGGACCCAGGGAGAGATAGGACCCAGGGAGAGATAGGACCCAGGGAGAGATAGGACCCAGGGAGAGATAGGACCCAGGGAGAGATAGGACCCAGGGAGAGATAGGACCCAGGGAGAGATAGGACCCAGGGAGAGATAGGACCCAGGGAGAGATAGGACCCAGGGAGAGATAGGACCCAGGGAGAGATAGGACCCAGGGAGAGATAGGACCCAGGGAGAGATAGGACCCAGGGAGAGATAGGACCCAGGGAGAGATAGGACCCAGGGAGAGATAGGACCCAGGGAGAGATAGGACCCAGGGAGAGATAGGACCCAGGGAGAGATAGGACCCAGGGAGAGATAGGACCCAGGGAGAGATAGGACCCAGGGAGAGATAGGACCCAGGGAGAGATAGGACCCAGGGAGAGATAGGACCCAGGGAGAGATAGGACCCAGGGAGAGATAGGACCCAGGGAGAGATAGGACCCAGGGAGAGATAGGACCCAGGGAGAGATAGGACCCAGGGAGAGATAGGACCCAGGGAGAGATAGGACCCAGGGAGAGATAGGACCCAGGGAGAGATAGGACCCAGGGAGAGATAGGACCCAGGGAGAGATAGGACCCAGGGAGAGATAGGACCCAGGGAGAGATAGGACCCAGGGAGAGATAGGACCCAGGGAGAGATAGGACCCAGGGAGAGATAGGACCCAGGCACCTCGAGGAGAGCGAGGGTGGAGGCAAGGGGGAAGCCGTCGAATATGAACTGCTCCAGCTTCACCCCCTGCACTGCCCCGTGCACCGATGGAATGCGCTTCACCGCCAGATGGTGGCTGGGGGGACAGCAGGACAGGGGGAAGCAAGGGGGGAGCATGGCAATGGTGGGGGCGAGGGGGAAGACGTATTGCTCCAGCTTCACCCCCTGCACTGCCCCGTGCACTGATGGTATGCACTTCACCGCCAGGTGGTGGCTGGGGGGTCAGCACGGCAGGAAGGGTGGCAGGCAGGGGGGTAGTGGAGCAATGGAGAAGTGGGGCAGGAAGTGCGTTGCGGGGCAATGGGGCAACGGGACCGGGAGAGGTGGAAGGGGCGTGGAGGGGAGGGAAGGGAGGAGAGGGACTCGAAGGCTCGTGTGTTTCAAATAATGCAGGATGAGTGCTACAAGGGCGTGAAGTAGAAAGCACTCGCTCTCCCAGAAGCCTTACATGCAGTGTCGCTTGAGAGGTGAATCTCGAGGCGACTGACAAGAACGAGGTGAAGGCATCGCCCCCTCAGAGATGTGACATGTGACGTGACATTTGAGTTGATGGATCATGGAGACATCATCCCCTGTGGAGGAGGGCTTGGCTTAGCTGTGGGCTTGGCTTAGCTGAGGGCTTGGCTTAGCTGTGGGCTTGGCTTAGCTGAGGGCTTGGCTTAGCTGTGGGCTTGGCTTAGCTGTGGGCTTGGCTTAGCTGTGGGCTTGGCTTAGCTGTGGGCTTGGCTTAGCTGTGGGCTTGGCTTAGCTGTGGGCTTGGCTTAGCTGTGGGCTTGGCTTAGCTGTGGGCTTGGCTTAGCTGAGGGCTTGGCTTAGCTGTGGGCTTGGCTTAGCTGTGGGCTTGGCTTAGCTGTGGGCTTGGCTTAGCTGTGGGCTTGGCTTAGCTGTGGGCTTGGCTTAGCTGTGGGCTTGGCTTAGCTGTGGGCTTGGCTTAGCTGTGGGCTTGGCTTAGCTGAGGGCTTGGCTTAGCTGTGGGCTTGGCTTAGCTGTGGGCTTGGCTTAGCTGTGGGCTTGGCTTAGCTGAGGGCTTGGCTTAGCTGTGGGCTTGGCTTAGCTGTGGGCTTGGCTTAGCTGTGGGCTTGGCTTAGCTGTGGGCTTGGCTTAGCTGTGGGCTTGGCTTAGCTGTGGGCTTGGCTTAGCTGAGGGCTTGGCTTAGCTGTGGGCTTGGCTTAGCTGTGGGCTTGGCTTAGCTGTGGGCTTGGCTTAGCTGTGGGCTTGGCTTAGCTGTGGGCTTGGCTTAGCTGTGGGCTTGGCTTAGCTGTGGAGGATTGCTTAGCTTACATGCAGTGCTGGTCGAGAGCTTGTGCAGCTGCTTGTAGGAACTCCACAGAGAACATGTGAATGCAGATCTGACGCCATTGGGAAAGGGCAGGAAAGGACAGGGCAGGGCAGAGGAGCGCATGGCAGGACAAGGTGAGTGAAGGCAAGTGCTAGGAGGTCTCTCACACAGCCTAAACCGACTCGTACAACCTGTTCATGGGACATTGCTCCACTCCACTTGTACTTGAGTTTGCCTCTCGCACGCCCACACCCTTCCCATCCCAGTAGAATTTCCGTTTATCCCTATCAGCTGAAATCACACCCTCCCATACAGCCTGTTCTCCCTTTCCCTCCTCTTCCCCCGCACTTTCCCCCTCCTTTCCCCCCCACCACCCCTTCCCCCCCAACTTACATTGCTCCAGTTGTACTTGAGTTTGCCTGTTGCATTATCCACAGACGTGCCCATGCCTGGAGGCAGCTCACTATACTCCATCACTGCCGTCACCAGCTCCTCCTCCCCCTCCCCCTCTCCCTCTCCCTCTCCCTCCTCTTTCTTCCCCTCGTTCTCCTTCGCCTCCTCTGTAACAGAGTGCTGCTCGCTTGCCCGTGTGGGTTTGAGAGGCGCATGGTTGGTACGCACAAACACACCCACCCGTTCCTCTGGGTAGGCCTGTGGATGGGGAGAGAGGGGAGAAGGGGAGAAGGGAAGAAGAGGGAGAGGGGGAGGGAGGGAGAAGGGTTTGAGGCAGAGGTCATTTCATGTTCTCGACCCAACAACAAGAGTTCCAAGTCGATTCAGACGTTATTCCAGTCCAGACTAGACACTTAAGGTTGCCCACTCACAAAGCAAAGCAGCAGCCCAACATACCCACCCACACCACACCCTATCCTCCCAGCCTCCCATTCTGCCTACAACGGTACTACCCACCCCATCCGCCCCTTCCTTGTCCCCTTTTCTCTTAACCCCCTTTCTCTTCCCCGCTTTTCTCTTTCCCCACTTTCGCTTCCCCTCCCATTCCCCTGCCCCCTTCCCCCACCAGCACTGCACCTTCTGCACCACTTTAGCTGCGCAGTCAGCAGACTCGTGCAGCACGTAGCCCAGGAAGAGCGGGTCTGCCACTCGGATCTGAGTGCATTGCAGGGACAGGGGGAGGGCAGGCCCGGGTGTGGAGGGGTGGTGACTGGTGAGAGGGTGTTTTGAGGCTCCCAAGACTCGTGCAGCACGTAGCCCAGGAAGAGCGGGTCTGCCACTCGGATCTGAGCACAACGGGGGGACAGGTGGAGGGCAGGGGCGGGTGGCGGAAGGGGAGGGACGAGATGAGCACATGCACGGGTGTAAGTTGGTGTGGGAGGGAGGTGAGTTGGTGTGGGAGGGAGGTGAGTTGGTGTGGGAGGGAGGTGAGTTGGTGTGGGAGGGAGGTGAGTTGGTGTGGGAGGGGATGGAGAACGGGGTAAGCTAAGGATGTGCATGGTAGTGTACATACTATACACGCAGGATTGGCTGACGAGCCAGCAGCATATCCAAAGGGCCAGCAAAACGGAAGAGCAGTGGAAGAGTGGCAGGTAGGTAGGTGATCCGAGAGACACATAGACATGGGCCACGGGCAGTGGCACCTTATGGACTGACTGACTGATAGACTTGACTGACAGACCAGCAGACCAACAGACCAAGAGACCAAGAGACCAAGAGAGAGGCAGAGTGAGTGAGAGAGTGAGTGAGTGAGTGAGGAACTGACGAGGGCGTTGTCGACTGAGAAGCACTCCACGTGTGTGACACCCTGCGCCTGCATGCGGTCCAGCAGACCACTGCCCTTCAGCGCTGCACAGCAGGGGGTGAGTGTAGGCACAGAGGGGCGAGTGCAAGCGCAGGGGGGTAAGTGAGTGAGTGCAGGTACGATTAGTTGACGTCCTGCGCCCATCCCATCCCATCCCATCCCATCCCATCCCATCCCATCCCATCCCATCCCATCCCATTCCATCCCATCCCATCCCATCCCATCCCATCCCATCCCATCCCATCCCAGCCCATCCCATCTCACCATTATACACGCCACCATTGCCATCAGGCGCTTGGGACAGCTGCACAGGAAACAGAGGCAAGGAGAAGACCATCCAAGCGCATTAGGAGAAAGTGGTGGAAGAATCTGGAAGAGGAGCAGGATGCGGCACTGTTCTGCAGACGTGCATGTGCATGTGTGTGTGCGTGTGTGCGTGGGAGAGGGCGACAACGTGGGCACGGCGGCAAAGAGGGCATGGCTGTGGCAGGGTGGGTGCGTGCGAGTAGTACCGTGGTGGGAGTCTCAAGGATGATGTGCCCGTCCATGGTGAAGCACGGCACAGAGCCCTGCTGGAAGAAATGCACCTGTGCAGGGGAGAGAGGGAGAGGGAGGAGGGAGGAGGGACGAAGCAACAGGGAAAGGGGGGGAGGGAGGGAAGCAGGGAAGAAGAAGGAGAAGACGTATGGAACAGAGGACAAGAAGCGGGGCAGTGGTTGGAGAAAGGGGCGAGGAGCTGGGGGTTGAATGAATGTGTTCCAAGAAGGTGGACCGTGGAGGAGTGAGATGAGAAAGAGAGAGCCTGGATAAGTAGATGTAGCAGAGGGATGTGGAGAGTCAGAGTGAACGAATCTCTGGGCTTCAGACAAGCACATGCTTCACCACTCCTGCTGCGCTCAACTGATGCTCAACTGATGCTTGCAGACTCTTCCCAGCAGCACCTGCAATTCTTGAGGCGCCTCAAAAATCGTCAGAGTGAACGAATCTCTGGGCTTCAGACAAGCACATGCTTCACCACTCCCTGCAGCGCTCAACTGATGGTTGCAGACTCTTCCCAGCAGCAGCTGCAGCACACTCTCTCCCCCATGGCCAGGCAGGCACACCAACTCTCACTCACAGGCGATCTGTTTCTCAGGTTCTGAGAAAATCTAGAAAAAAATCCAGTCAAAACAATCGCTCACAGGTTGTAGAGCGTGGCACACACATTCCCCATGGTGCAAACCCTCCCTCCCCTCCCGTTCTCAGAAATCTCAAAAGCAAATACTGCAGAGTGAAGCACACAGTTCCCCATGGCCGGGCACACCACTTCGGCCTCTTGCCCTCCCAGGCACCCCTCTTCTCCTTCCCCCCCCAACACCCCCCCCTCCTGTGGGGTACCTGGGAGGGCAGGAGGCCGAAGTAGTTGTGGAGGGCGAAGAAGTCGAGGATGGGCTGGTGGGTGAAGGGCGAGGTCATGATGAGCCATGGGATGTGCACGGGCGCGGATGATGCGACAGATGTACCTGCAATGAGGTATGGGTGGGTAGGTGGGTGCATGCCATGCATGGGTGGGTGGGTGCGCTGGTGAGGCGGAAGCGGTGTGTCGGTTCACAAACGAGCGTGAGAGACTGGAGGTGGGCTAGGGGAAAGTTGGGGCTTGGGTGAGATGGGGGTGTGGTGTGAGCATCGAGGATGCAAGAGATCATGACGCGAAGAGAAGGAAATCGTTGACATCAGCATGTCTAACCATCCCCATCCCCATCCCCATCCCCTTCCCCCACAGCATCCTCAATCGCACTCACCCCCACCCTCACCCTCACCCCCACCCGCATGCGCACCGGCAGCGTGCGTGGGCAGCATCTGCATGCGCAGCAGGCGCTCCGCCATGAGGTGGAAGACGCCGCAGTGGACTCAGCCGACTGTCACCACCACCACCACCATCACCATCAACACGCCCAGCACCCCACCACCAACACCACCCCCACCCCCACCCGCGCACCTGGCGCCTCCACAGCCAACATCTGCATGCGCAGCAGGCTCTCCGCCATGAGGTGGAACAGCGACACTAGAGCCATCATCACCACCAACCTCACCCCCACCTGCAACCACACCTGAAGCCTCCACAGCCAGCGTCTGCATGCGCAGCAGGCGCTCCGCCATGAGCTGGAACAGCGACTTGTGCGAAGGCAGCCCAATGTCTGGGCGCCGGGGGAGGGAAAGGGGGGTAATGGAGGGGAGCGGGGGGGAATGGGGAGTGGCGGAGGGGGGGATGAGCGGGAGCAGAGAGGAGCGGGGGGGGTGGGAAGGTGAGGGGAGGAGAGGGGAGGAAGAGCAGGGGAGGAGGGGAGGGGAGCTATAGACAGCAGGAGGGGGAAGTGGAGTGGGGGTTGGCAGGACATAGCAAGCACACGCATAAGCTCGCTCCTCCCACCCTTCACCTTTCTCGGTAATCGAGACTGGGCGAGGAAGCAGATGAGGGAAATACAGAAAGACAGCAAAGGGACCAACCCCGGGCAGACAAATGGCGGATAGAAAGAGAGAGGAAGAGCGGGGCGAGGGGGGGGGGGGAGGGAGAGGGAGAGAAGAAAGAGAAGGGAAAGGAAAGGGAAGGACTCACCATAGCAGCCCTTTGGTGCGGAGCTTCCCAGTCTTGTTCCCTGTGCGGAAAAGGGCATGGCAGTGGCAGAGCGTGTCAGGTGACGGTTCAGCAAGTGACGGATTTGGGAAGAATATGGCAGGTGCCGGTGCCGGTGCCAGTTCCGGTTCAGGAAACAGCATGGAAACAGCATGGCAGGCAAAGGAATAAAATCGCATGGGGCGTAATAATATAAAATCACATGAATCATTGACAACCTCCTATGATACATGCCGAGATTCTCCACCTGATTCAACCTTCCCACTCCCTCCCTCTCCACTCTTGTACACACTTCCCTCCGCAATTCCACTTCGCATATCCCACCTTCCTCCACCAATCGTCCCCAATCCTATCACCATATTCCCCCTTCAGACTCCCCCCCACCTGTCCACCGGCCAGCAGCAGCACGGCGAGTCGGCCCTGGGCGATGGCTGCCAGGCCCTGCTCCCTCCACTGCTGTGCACTTGCATCTGATCGCCCCTCCAGTGCGCACACGTTCCGCACTGGCTGCACCTGCAGGGGCGCCGAGGGCGCTGATGGGCAACAGCGCAGCGCAGGGAAGAGTGGTGGAGAGAGGTGGAGAGAGGTGGAGAAAGGGTTGAAAGGGCTGAGGCTGGGATGGGCTGGGAGGGGACGGAAGAGGTGATAGTGAGGCAGGGTGGAAGGAAGGAAGGCGACTAATGTTGCTCCAGCTCTACTGCTGACGATTCTCTGGCGTGGCGTGAGGCTTTGTGTCTGGCTGGCTGACATACATGTGACTTTGTGTCTGGCTGGCCTGAGACTTGTCTCCTATGGTCTGACCTGAGACTCCGTGCCCTGACATTCCATTCTTCTTCCCTGTTCTTCACTTGACATCTCCCATTGAACACTCCCTCCCAAACCAGTTGTCCTTTCCCCCACCATTGCTCGTACCTCGGCCCCTCTCACCCCGCACGTTCTCACGCAAGGGTCCTCTCTCCTCTCCTCTCCTCTCCCCTGTTTCCCTCCCATTATCCCGCGCACCATTGTGTGAGGAGTGGGTTGACGCCTGGAACACACGCACTGCTCTCTCCACGTCCACTGCCTGCCGCCATGCGCACACAGCACACACAGTCAATGGAATGTGGGTAAGCGGCAGGGGATTGGATTGGAAGCAAGCGGTGAACACGGCAAGGGCTTGAGGATTCGGGGAGTGTGAGATCTGCAGCACACGGTCCGCTCTCTCCACGGCACGTCCACTGCTTGCCATGCACACACACACACACACACACACACACACACACACACACACACACACACACACACACACACACACACACACACACACACAAGCATGGATGGAAACATGGGATACAGGATGGAATCATGGAACCAGAGGATGACATGGCATTGGAACCAGGGAACGACAAGGGAATTGCTTGGGGATTCAGGGAGTCTCATCCACGTCCGTCAAAGCCAGTCCACGTCCGTCAACGTCAGTCCACGTCCGTCAACGTCAGTCCATGTCCGTCAACGTCAACCCACTCCCCTCCCTCACCTCCACGGCCTCCAGCAGGCGCGCGCGCTCCTCCGCTCTATTCAGCTCCCGCCATTGCGCCTCGATATGCTCCTGATTCAAATCCCGGAGCCTCCGCGCAAGTTCCGCGGGGAACTCAACCGATCCCCCTTCCGCGGAGCCTGCGCCGTCTCTCCCCGATCCCGCTGCTACCCGCTCTCCTTCGACCTCTCCGTCTACTGACTGCTGCTGCTGTTGCATCGCGGCGCGAGCACGCGTCTCTCCGCGATTCCCGCCGCGTCTTACGGAACGCTTCTGGTGACTGGATATCCCAGGAATCCGAGGGTTAGGAGGAGAACGAGAGCGAAACGCCGTCTCTAGGGAAGAATATCCGACCAATGGCGGCTGTCGCTGGGATGGCGACGGCGCGGGAATGGGAACGAGAAAGGTTGAAGGTGGGACGCTCCCGGTGCTGAGGCCAAGTACGTGCAAATCTGCCCGCATCTGGTCTTATTATAAAGTTCCTGCACGGTTCTCGCGTCCTATCTAGCTAGCACAGAGCGACCTTCGCGAATGTACCGTTGAAGCTAGAGTGTCCTAGACTAGATCGGTCCTTCCCCACATGCCATTCCACGGTCACTCAGCTCATCATACCATTACTGATGCAAAAATTCATTGCTGTTATAAGCTGCAAACAACTGTATGACTGAACTAGTACTATTTCTTATGTAGTTTCAGATTTCAAGCAAGGAAAGCGGAAATGTAGTTTAAAGAAATATAACTTGTTAGAACTTTACGTTTCATATAGAATGGTTCGGTTATGAAAAACAAAGGCATCATACAAACAAAAACCACACCACACCTTTCGGTTTACACCAGACTCGTTTGGTAACACCTAAGTCTATGTTATGACTGAATTACCACAAACTGGGAATCTGACCCGCCGGTATTGCTGCGATCAGAAACTAGATCGCCCCTAGGATCTCCTCAGGAAGGTTCGCACAACGTGTGTGGTAGTGGTGGGCCCTTGACCTCAAATCAGAGTGAATGCAAAATGTTTGAGATGATAAAAACATGCAAATACATAAGTATAAATAAGAGTACAGGTGGAATACGAAACGACCTAACTAGCCATGTACTCTAAGGGGTACATTCCCTTATTGCAGCGAAATCCAACCGTGCGACTCCAGACGGTTACGAACAGGGCTCTGGCTAGGATTTAGCCCCGTCTGAAACCAGAGTCTCTAAAAAATTTTCGTCTGAGCAAAATATGAGCAACTCTTGGCGGTCTGTAAACTCAGACGAGCCAAAACTTACAGCCTGGGAATTCAGACGAACACACCAGAGCACTGTCTGTTCTGTACTGTATGTATGTATACCATGCGTTTTACTCTTGTTTATAATAATATACCACTTGTTGTGTCACACAACAGACATACTATTAGAATCATTACTGAGGGAGGAAGGAGGGAAGGAATCCCTAAGCTGAGTCACTAGAATCACTACTGCTGCTGCTGCTGCTGCTGCTTTCTACAGTGTCCTCTTCTTCATCGAAGGGGTTGTACAACAAGGGAGGTGTGGCTTTGGTCTTCTTGCCCCTGCTCTGCCATCCACCTTCCTCAGCTTCAACCCTGGCGCTCTCTGTCAGATTATATATATATGCTTGTTTAGGTTATCTAGGCTGTATGGGGGTTAGCACTAGGGGGTACACAAACTTTCTCGATACCCTAGTCTTGTACCCTAGCCTTCACCTAATCCATTCATTCTTGCCTTAGGTTCTTAACATGGTAACTAGAGCAGGAGGTCTCTAGGACCTACGAATCGGGCCCACCTAACTGCCTGCCTTGCCTACTGCTCGCGCGCGCCTCGGCGGCAGCGCGCGTCACTTATTTTTTCCCGCGCGCGCCTCGGTTTCTAGCGCGCGCGTCTCTGATTTTTAGCGCGCGCCACTGCTGTAGAGCCGCGCGCCGGTCCGCGTCGCCCGTATAGCCCTCGTAGAGCCCGCGCGCCCCTTACGCCGCCCACGCGCAGCCTAAGCAGAGCCCACCGCCCGCGCGCGACGTAGAGCCCGCCGCCCGCGCGCGCGCTGCCCGTCGCCACGTGCAGCCAGGAGCCGCGCGCAGCACGTAGCCACGCGCAGCAGAGAGCCACGCGCGGCCCTTAGCCGCACGCAGCCAGCAGCCGCGCGCTCCCTACGTGTGTACTTGCCTGTGAGGCTTACTGCTGCCGAACTCACTGCCTTCGAACTGTACGGCCTGCCACTGTCTAGAGCCCCACCGTAGGAGCTCGGGTGCAGCAAGCTACTGCCCTGCACGTTGCCTGTACTGCCTACTGCCTACTGCCTAAGTTTTAGCCTTCTGTCTACTGCCTACTGCCTCGTGTCTACTGCCTGCCTGCTTTCTGCTGCCTTTGCCTACTGCTGTTATGACGACGCCTAATGTTCTCGCGTTCGAACCTGACGACCGCCCCATAGAGTTCACTGTGTGGCTAGACGGCCTGCAACTGTTCCTTCTGACCGATGCCAAAGAGGGCGTTTCACTGTTCGATTACGTGTCTGGCACTGCCGTTGCTCCTGCTGCTGATGCTCCTGCTCTCGAACGCTCGCAGTGGCAGACTCGCGATGCTGCTGCACGCCTAGCTATTAGGAACCATCTGCCGATCACTGAGCGCGCGCATTTCAGCCAGCACAAAACTGCTAAGACACTGTACGACGCTGTAGTTGCACGCTACTCCTCCCCGGCCACTGCAGCCATAGGTCGGCTCATGCTACCCTACCTGTTCCCCGACCTTTCCTCGTTCACCACTGCTGAGGACCTCATTTCTCACCTCCGCGCTACTGACACTCGCTTTCGTGCCGCCCTCTCAGCCGAGTTCTGCGCCGTAAACCCCCCCCCCCCCCCGATGTACTTCACTCTCTATTTCCTCGTTACGCGCCTCCCTGACACTCTTAGCTCGGTCAAGGACCACTTCCTAGCGCTAGACCCCCCCACTCTCACTGTCGACGACTTCGAGAAGCACCTCCTTGCAGCAGAGAAGAACATCCTCGCTGTAGGTGCTGCTCGTGGCACTCCTCGCTCTCCCCTCTTTGAGGGGTGCTCCCCCTCCCCTCTCACCCCCTCCTACGCCTCCGCAGCTGCTGCTCACGACTACCTTGGTGCTGAGGAGGTCGGGGCTGCTTCCGCTCCTAGTGGGAAGCGTCGCAGCGGCAGGGGCGGCAGGGGTGGCAGGGGCGGTGGGGGCGGCGGTGGAGGCGGCGGTGGTGCAGGCGGCGGGGGCGGTGGAGGTGGTGGGGGTGGTCGTGGGGGTGGAGGGGGTGGAGGTGGTGGTGGGGGCGGCGGAGGCACTGGGGGCGGTGGAGGGGGCAGCAGCGGCGGTGGGGGAGGAGGGAGCGGTGGTGCCAGTGGTGGTCAGGGCCAGCAGCAGCAGCCGCAGCAGCAGCAGCAGCAGCAGCAGCAGCAGCAGCGTCAGCGCCAGACCCCCACTTCCCAGCAGCTTCTTGACTGGTATGCCGGGCGTGGGGCTTCTGGGGGTCCTGGTCGCTGCCCCTATATCATCCGCACAGGTCCCCGCGCTAATCGCCAGTGCACAGGGTTTCACACTGAGCAGCGCTGCTTCGCTCGACTTAGCGACGCCTGGCGCGCCAAGTTTCCTGATGCTACTGAGTTCCCCAACTGGGCAGACTTGCTTAGGCGTGATGTACCAATCTTTGATCTTGACTATGAGGCTATTCTTGCTGCTATGTATGCATTGACTGTTAGTGCTGAGGGTGACTGCTACTTGTGTGTGCCGCCTGACCCAGGTATAGCTTCAGGTATAGTGCCTGTGGCACTAGGTGCTTGTGAGTCTGCTCCCCCTGGTACTGCGTCCGCACAGGCCTTGCACACCTTCACACTTGACTCTGGTGCTTCCCGCTGTTTCTTTCACGACAGCACCACAATCACTCCCCTCCCTGCACCTGTTCCTATCTCGCTGGCTGACCCCTCTGGGGGCCTAGTGCTTGCACGGTCTTCCACTGTGCTTCCGTGTCCGGCGGTCCCGTCTGGTGAGCTGTCTGGTCTCCACCTCCCCTCGTTCTCTACGAACTTGGTGAGCAACGCCGTCCTTCAGGATCACTGGGCTGACACCTTTACTCCTGGAGGACAGCGTGTGGCGATCTGCACGTGCTCCTGGACCGGCCGTCACCTGGCCACGTTCACACGTGCGCCTGGGTCTAGTCTGTACACCCTCACCACTGCGTCACGCTACACCCCTTTGTCCCCCCAGCTGTACGCGTCTGCTCAGGTAGCTACCCAGTGTGAGTGTTGCCGCCTGTCGCACGACACTCTTCTGTGGCACCACCGCCTTGGTCACCCCTCCCTGCCTCGCCTTCGTAGCATGCACTCTCGCTACCTGGTCTCTGGCCTTCCTGAGTCTCTGCCTGCCCTCCCTCCCTCGCCTGCGCCGCCCTGCATTCCTTGCGTCGAGGGGCGGCAGCGCGCCGCTCCTCACTCCTCCTCGTTTCCTCCCACAGAGGCTCCCCTGCAGACTCTCGACATGGACGTGTGGGGCCCAGCCCGCGTCCGTGGACAGGGCCACGAGCGGTACTTCCTGCTGGTCGTCGACGACTACACGCGTTACACCACGGTCTTCCCCTTGCGCAGCAAAAGGGAGGTCCCTGATGTTTTGATCCCCTGGATCCGCGCTGTTCGTCTCCAGCTCCGCGAGCGGTTCCGGTCGGACTTTCCTGTCCTGCGTCTGCACTCTGACAGAGGTGGTGAGTTCTCCTCAGACCTCTTGGCAGCCTACTGTGCGGAGCACGGCATCCGCCAGTCGTTCACGCTTCCGGCCTCTCCGCAGCAGAATGGGGTTGCTGAGCGCCGCATTGGCTTAGTCATGGAGGTCGCTCGTACCTCCATGATCCATGCGGCTGCCCCCCATTTTCTGTGGCCGTTTGCGGTCCGGTACGCCGCGCATCAGCTCAACCTCTGGCCCCGTGTCTCCTTGCCGGAGACCTCGCTCACACTGCTGTGGACGGGGAAGGTTGGCGATGCGTCGCGTTTCCGGGTCTGGGGTGCTCGTGCCTTTGTCCGCGATACCACTGCGGACAAGCTCTCCGCTCGCGCCATTCCCTGCGTCTTCCTTGGCTTTGTCCCTGACGTGCCTGGCTGGCAGTTTTACGACCCCGCCTCGCGCCGTGTCTTTCCGTCTCAGGACGTCACCTTTGACGAGTCCGTCCCCTTTTACCGTCTCTTTCCCTACCGCACTGCCCCTCGCCCCCCCCC